AATTCTTTCACTAAACTGACTACCCAGAAGGTTAAGTTCTGAGAACTATTTGGGAAGTAAAAGGCAGCTTTTGAAAAACAGGAACCTGGGAATTGGAGCAGGGGATGTTTTGAAGATGATTTGTATATATTTAGGAGTATTTAGATCATGAAACTTTTTTTTTTAGATAAAGTCTCTTACCTTAGCTTCCCTTGTGGCTGGGATTACAGGTGCAAGACACCATACCTGGCTAAACTTTCTTTTTGAGAGTTAAGGGACAGGGTCTCACCATGTTACCCAGGCTGGCCACAACTAACAGTGCTCTTTGACGTGGAAAGAAAGGTGAGGCACATTCCAACATGATGTTAAAATAGTAATGTCACACCATTTTCCTCCCACTCCAGGGCATTAGTGGGGCACATAACATGAGGGAGAGACATCAAGAGCAGGCAGAGGTGCTATTTATTTGATTTACATGAGTCTGAAGTCTTGTTTTTAATGTTTAAGCATTATTCTTTGACAGTTGAGAGAAAACAATCCCCCTGGGAAGAGGAAAGCAGCCAAGAGAAAATGGAACAGCCCAAGAAAGAATGGAAATGATTCTATTGCTCCACAACACAGAGCCAAGTGGGCGGGAAGCCAGGGTAAATGATCAGAGGCTGTCTACGGAATGGCTGGCCTCGGCTTGAGCACTGGGTGCCTACTCAGCGAGCAATAACAACTCTGTCACGGGGGACACGGCTGGAGCTCCAAGTTAGTCATCTGCAGGAAACCAGCCTCCATTCTCCATTTTGTGAGAAGTGTTTGATCAGGAAACACACAAAAGAGATTGCATCTGTTATGTCAAAATACAGTCCACTGGGGGCTGGGGTGTAGCTCAGTGATAGAGTGCTTGCCTAGCATGTGTGAGGCACTGGGTTCGATTCTCAGCACCATGTATAAATAAACAAAATAAAAGTCCATTAACAACTAAAAAGTATTAAAAAATACACTCTATTATCATGTATTTCTAAAAAGAACAAGTTAAAAAAAGAGGAAAAAAAAAAGATTGCATCTGTGCTGCACTTCTCCTTGGTTGTCAGGGAAGTGAGTATCTCAAGTAACAAATTCATACTCTGGAAACTACACAGTACAACCCTGGTGGTTGTAGAGCTTGGTATTTAGGGTGAATAAAAATAAAAATGTCTACAACTCTAGTTTGATGGAGATGCTGTTATTTTAGTTTTATTAGAGAAGGGAAAAGTAGAGAGATTAGGTCTCTTTTCAAAATAAAAAGCTTAATGACCCTAATGTCACATAGGAGTTAAAAAGCCCTTTGAGCCAGGCATGGTGACACATGCCAGCCTCAGCAAAAGTGAGGTGCTAAGCAACTCAGGGAGACCCTGTCACTAAGTAAAATACAAAATAGGGCTGGGGATGTACCCCGGAGTTCAATCCCTGTTCCCACCCCCCTCCCCTGCCAAAAAAAAAAAAAAGCCCTTTGATGGTGCATATTTTACTTCATCAAAACAAAAGAGGTGACATGTACCATTAGGCTACAGAATTTGGTAAACTTTTTAGTAAAAACTGTTTTAGATCTTTTCTGCTCTTATTCCCTACCCTGCCCCCATACTAGGGATTGGACCAAGGGTCACACTACCACTGAACTATGTTCCTCAGTCCTTTTTTAAATTTTGAGACAGAGTCTTGGATGCTGGCCCTAAACTTGCAGTTCTCCTACTTCAGCCTCCTGAGTTGCTGGGGATTACAGGCTTGTCACCATGCCCAGTATGGTGTATGTGTGTGGTACTGGGGATTGAACTCTACCATTAAGCCACATCCACAGCCCTTCTTTATTTATTTATTTTGAGACAAGGTCTCAGTAAGTTGCCCAGGTTGGCCTGGAACTTGTGAATTTACCATGTATGCCACTGTACAGCTCTTTGTTCTGTGGATGTGAGGGGTTGTCCTGATACCTTACCATTAATTTCCCTTCCTTGCCTGGCCACCACCGCTCACTAACTCCTGCACCCTGCATAGTATAAGTGATTAAGAGAAATCTCCATTCTCAGATGAATGGATTAAGGAAGTATCAGTAACTAACAAAAGCTCAGGAATTAACACAGTAACAGAAACTTGTCAAAGCAAGATCCACTGTGGGGCAATTAGGCTTCACTGGGTTGAAGGAATATGGAGTTAATTAATTCCAGATCTTAGTAGAAGCCCTCCACCTCTCCACCAAGTCTAGGCATGGAGTATCTTTTTTTTTTTTTGTCTGAGGCATTGTAACCATCCTTTGCTGGTTTCCTCTCCTGTTTTTAGACTCATAAGAGGTTAGGAGTAAACCTTCAGAAAAAAATCTAGTGTAACTCATTTTACAGATGAAAAGACAAAAATCCAAGGAGATGAAAATAATGAAATTGGAACTTAGTAAATTGCACTGTTTCAAACCACTAGCAAGTTGCCTGGGAATAATTTAGATATGCCTAGGTCATGCTTTATGAAACAAAACTTTTGAATTTTAGACTCCTGATAATATGAACATTTAAAAAAATCTTTATTAGTCCAAAAGCCTAAAATCTATTAGACTAGAGAGAAGAGTAAAAAGAGGGCATGTTCTGTTTTCTAAAATTAATATTCACAAGTTGTCAGGGCAATAAGTTTTTAAACTCAGTTCCTCTGCAAATGCCAAGTTAATGATAAATATATATATTTGGTACTGGGGATTGAACCAAGGTATGCTGTACCATCTGAGCCCTAGCCCTAGCCCTTTTTATTTTGAGACAAGGTCTCACTATTTTTTTTTGGTAATGGAGATTAAACCCAGGGATGCTTTACCACTGAGCCACATCTCCAACTCCTTCCCCACGTTTTTATGTTTCTATTTTGAGACAGGATTTCACTCAGTTGCTTAGAGCCTCACTAAGTTGCTGAAACTGGTCTCAAACTTGCAATCCTCCTGCTTCAGCCTCCTCTAAATTACAGACATGCATCACCACACCCAACTAACTCTTTCAGTTTTTCCTTTAAAAAAATTTAAACTGGGCTGGGGATGTGGCTCAAGCGGTAGCGCGCTCGCCTGGCATGCGTGCGGCCCGGGTTTGATCCTCAGCACCACATAAAAAGATGTTGTGTCCGCCGAAAACTAAAAAATAAATACTAAAAAAAATTCTCTCTTTAAAAAAAAAAAATTAAACTGACAAGATTATCAATATATACTTTTAGCTACATCTGTATTGATTTATATCATTCTTCCAAAAATTTTATTAAAAAATATTTTTGGTACTGGGGATTGAACTCAGGGTGCACTACCACTGAGCTATATCCCCTTTTTAAAAATTTTTTATTTTGAGATGGGGTCTAAGTCACTTAGAGCTTGTTAGATTGCAGAGGCTGGCCTCTATCTTGTGATCTTCCTGGCTCAGCCTCTTGAGTTGCTGGAATTACAGATGTGCCATGTTTATTATTATTTTTAAATCATGCATTGTCACTATATATGTTTTATTTCTTCTTAGATTCATGAGTTCAAAAACATGTTTTATTTTTTGGATACCAGGGGCTGAAACCAAGGGTGCTTAACCACTGAGCCACATCCCCAGCTTTTTTATTTTGAGACAGTCTCATTAAGTTGCTTAGGACCTTGCTAAATTGCTGAGATTGGCTTTGAACTTGTGATCCTCCTGCCTCAGCCTCCTGAGCTGCTGGAATTACAGGTGTGCCATACTGTGCACCTGGCTAAGAATGTGTTTTAATTAGGAAGTTTGTCATTTTCAATATGTGGATAAACCTAGAAGATATTATGCAAAGTAAACTAGGCACAGAGAAACAAGGACCATATGATCTCACTTATATGTGGAACTTAAAAAAGTCAAACTCACAGAAGTAAGAGACTAGAGTGGTGGCTGCCAGGAGCAGGGGCAAGGGGTTGCAATGTATCATGTGTTTTTACTAAATAGCTAAAAGGATTTTAATTGTTCTTACCACAAAGAAATGAATAATTGAGGTGAAAGGCTAATTGCTTTGATTTAATCATTCTACAATGTATATTTTGAAATATTACATTGCATACCATAAATATACACAATTACTATGTCCATTAAAAATAAAATAAAACCTAAAAAAAAAAAGTCATGGTGTTGCATTCTCCCCAAGATAAAAAAAACCCACTAGAAATCAAGCATTTTTTTTTTTCATCTTGGGAAGTTACTGCCCTCTACAGGTGTATTTAGAAATGTTGGGGGTACTTTTGGGGTGTAACTGAGGGGTCTGGGGGAGTGGCTACTGGTGTTTAGTTTCTGGGGACAAGGGATGCCAGACCTACTAAAATGCAGTTTTTTTGTGAAGAACCACCTTCTTCCAGATACCGGTGTAGCTCCTTTTGAAACACCATGAAAGTAAAATGTACAAGTTACGTCTTGCATCTGAAGTACTCCATTCTATTTAGTCTAAGGGACTTGGTGGGAGGGAGGTTAAGGGATGGGGAGAAGACATGAGTGTGAAATTCATAGGGCTCCCATGTGGTGGGAGAGAACACAGGTTGTGGGAGGCCACTCCTGAGCTATTTAGCATCTTCATGGGGCCTTGAGCCAAGGAGATTTTGGTCTGGCATTGCGAGCTATTTTGTGCACCCTCCCCCGCCAAATGGATTACACAATACACTCGACTTAAAGTCTTCGCTTGGCTAGGAAGACTGGCTCCTATCTCCGAAGTTGGGTGTGGCCCATTGGGAACTAGACAGCTCACCCCCTACCTTAATTGGCCAATAACATTCTGTAGAAAGTCTCTGAAATTCTCCCATATAACTAAAGCAGAACACAGGCACTCTTTCTTTCCAGCGTGGAAGCTCGACCCCTAAGGTCAAAGAGCTTTTCTGCACCCCCCACCCCACCCCTTAAAACTGTTTTCTGGGTTGTGTGATTTTTCACAGTATTTTTCAGCTAGCCCACTCCACACAGGGGAACCCAGCTTCCATCACCTGTGTGACCATGGTCGAGAATAGGTCTATTAGGAAGTTCATGGATTTAACAGCATTTCAGCCCAGCTTATCATTCCACTGGCCTTTATTTCAACATACGCTATGTCACCTGATGCATTTACAGTACTACTTACAGAGAATAACAAAAAGTAAAGACTTCTGACTGATGTAATGTTTCTCAGCTACACACAGGCAAATGTTAATAAGTGGTTAAAATTTTCTCTTATTTGTTGAACTAACCTTAGATGCTAGAAATATAAAGCCTGAATCCTTTTAAGATTTTCAGGCACTTTCAAACTGTGCAAGGTAAATTTCTATTTGTCTTCCAGTTCATTTTCTCCTTCTTCTCTTGATAAAACCCAAAATGGCTCCCATTTCCCAGCTTCCTTGTAGCCACATGATGGCTGACCAAAGGACTGTGAGCTGTTCACCATTCTGCTTTTCTTTCTCCTTTTAATTAATTAGGGAAGCTGCCTGTTGCCCACTCTTAGCCTCTCTTCACACTTGCTGGGAAAGGATGACAACTTGAATGGCCTCCTTGGACAGAGATGGAAGCCAGGTAAATTTCCACCAGATGGATCCTTGGATGACTGATTACATGGAGTACAGCCGAAGTATTTTGGAGAAGGACTTTTGGCCATTTTTTCATATGCTGACTCCTTACTGCCCTATCAACTATAGACTCCAAATAAAATAAATGAAATCTGGTCTCAATAAAAATTTGAACTTATTAATTCTTTTTATATATATTTAGGTCACAGGTACATACATATAAATAAACTGCAAAAAACCAATTTGTTATATAGGCTCAATATATTATCAATAGTTCAGCCCAGTGATGAATAGTTTTAAAAAGTCAAAAAACCTAAGGTTTTCAGGAAGGATGACAGCATGAGGGACTTTATTATAGCCATATTTAATATAAATTAATGTATATTACCATGTGGAATATAGTTAATATCCAGTGTGAACCCAGGTCCATGTCATACATTTGTTGCTTTTTTCTTCTTTTGCAGATTGGACACAAGAGAAGGAAGCTTCTTGGTTTTATAGGCTACACTTCTCTTGATGCGCTCTCCTTTGATGTTAACAATATATGGCAAGAGAGGAGGCCGGACAGTCAGAACTGTTCCTTGAGGTGTGTAGCCTCGGAGATGTAATCTGTCCTTAAAATGAGGTGTTACTGCAACCCAACCTACGAAGCATGGGACAGAACACAAAATGCTGTTAGCAACTACCTTGTTAAGAAACATGGAGCCAGGTGCAGTGGTGCACACCTGTAATCCCAGTGACTTGGGATTCTTTTTTTTTTTTTAGAGAATTTTTTTCAATATTTATTTTTTAATTCTCGGCAGACACAACATCTTTGTTTGTATGTGGTGCTGAGGATCGAACCCAGGCCGCACACATGCCAGGCGAGTGCACTACGGCTTGAGCCACATCCCCAGCCCCGACTTGGGATTCTTGAGGCAGGAGGATTGCAAGTTCAAGGTCAGCCTCAGCAATTTAGTGAGACCCTGTCTCAAAAAGTTAAGAGCCACGGTCGCCTGAGGCAGGAAGATCACAAGTCGCAGAGGTTAATCTCAACAATTCAGTGAGACACTTTCTCAAAAGAAAGTGTAAAAAGTGTTGGGTGGGGATGTGGCTGGGCACAGTGGCACACACCTGTAATCCCAGCAACTTGGGAGGCCTAGGCAGGCGTGCAAGTTCAAAGCCAGCCTCAGCAGATTAGTGAGGCACTTAGCAACTCAGTGAGACCTTGTCTCTAAAAAAATATAAAAAGGACTACAGATGTGGCTCAGTGGTTAAGCACCCTGGGTTTAATCCCTGGCACCAAAAAAAAAAAAAAAAAAAAAAAAAGTAAAGCATACAATGCATTTGTAAAAAACATAAAAGTTATTTTCAGAATAGGTCACATTATCTAAAAAAAAAAAACTGGCATGTATTCCTTTTTTTGGGTACTGGGAATTGAACCCAGGGCCTCAAGTGCTCTACTATTGAGCATTTATATCCCTGGCTACTAGCATGTACTCCTTAAAATAGGGCACATGTCTAAAAATAAACTCAAGTCAGTAAAACTACTTAATTTGCTTTATAAAAAGTGTCTAGTGTAGGGTTGTGGCTGCAGCTCAGTGGTAGAGCGCTTGCCTAGCATATATAAGGCCCTGGATTCAATTCCAAGCATGGGGGTGGAAGGGAGAGAAGTACTTGGTGTAAAATTACCTGCAGAGGAAAACTTGATGTCAGCCACTGCTTCAGATCCCCCAAGTCCTTCTTCTAATGTTATGTCTTCAGCAATAAGAGGAGGAAATTCTGCCATTCGTTCTTCTCCACCCATTGGAACCTTCCATTGAAATATAATGAAGATGTCTCTACTACAAATTAAATTCCCTGCAACTGTAATATTACATAAATCACTGATAATTGTGTACAGGATCAAAAATGGAATCCTTTTGCTGGGTACAGTGACACATGCCATAGTCCTAGCAGTTCAGGAGGCTGAGGCAGGGAGATCACAAAGTTTCAGGCCAGCCTAGGTAATTTAGGGAGACCTGGTCTCAAATGAAATATGAAAAGGGCTGGGGATGCAGCTTAGTGGTGGAATGACAGTTTTGGGATTAAGCCTTTAATCTGTTTCATATTTATTATTTATTTATTTAGTGGTACTAAAAACAAACAAACAAGCAAAAAAAAAAAAAACGTGCTGGGGATGTGGCTAAGCAATAAAGTGCCCTGGGTTAAATTCTCAGTATTAAAAAAAAAGGAAATAAAGCATACAAGGCATTTGTGAAAAGTATAAAGTTATTTTCAGAATAGGTCACATTATCTAAATAAATTGACATGTATTCCTTTTTTTTTGGTACTGGGAACTGAACCCAGGGCCTCAAGTGCTCTATCATTGAGTCATGACCCTGGCTACTGGCATGTATTCCTTAAAATAAGGCACATGTCAAAAAATACACTCAAGTCAGTAAGACTACTAAATTTGCTTTATAAAAAGTGTCTAATGTAGGGTTGTGTCTGCAGCTCAACCCAAAGCATCTGGCTCTGATAAATTTTTTTTCGCCCCCTGTATTGAGGATTGAACTCAGGGGCACTCTGTATCCTCAGTCCTTTTTATATGAGATAGGGTCTTGCTAAATTATGGAGGGTATCACTAAATTTCTGAGGCTGGCCTGAAACTTGTTATGTTCCTGTCTCAGCCTCAAGAATTGCTAAGATTACAGTGTGTGCCACTGTGCCCAGCTTCCAAAAATACAACCAATATACAACATATACTATCCAATCATAAATATGGTATATCTTGTAAAAGAGCTGAAAACAGTCCCATTCAGGCAAATGGGCTTTGGTGAATTTTAAGAACTATTTCAATGGCATGGTAAGGGCCAAATGGGGACTACTTCAGGGGTGGGGCACGGGGAGCCAGCAACAAGCAGGTCTGTAAAGAGAAGGAGTGAGCAAGACACTCCTCAGTTTTTTTTTTTAAATAGATGAAAACAATTTTAATGCATATATAGGCCAAAAAAAAAAAAAAAAAGGAGCTAGGATAGCGGGAAAGAAGAGGAGCAATAAGCTAAAATTGGTGTCTGAGATTGAGAGATTGAGAATGGGGACTGAACCCAGGGGCACTCTACTGTAAACTTAATCCCTAGCCCTTTTATTTATTTATGAGTATATGTATTTTTTGGTACTGGGGATTAAACCCAGGGGTGCTTTAACACTGAACTACATCCCCAGCTTTTTCCCTTTTTCTTTTTTTACTCTTTAGTCAAAATTTTACCTTTTAATTTCTTGTTTTTGTTTTTTTTTTGGGTACTGGGTACTGAACTCAGGGGCACTCAACCACTGAGCTACATCCCTGGCCCTATTTTTATATATATATATATTTTTTTTTAACTTTTTGGCGGACACAACATCTTTGTTTGTATGTGGTGTTGAGGATCGAACCCGGGCCGCATTCATGCCAGGCGAGCATGCCACAGCTTGAGCCACATCCCTAGCCCCTGGCCCTATTTTCTTTTTGTTGTTGTTATTTATTTAGAGACAGGGTCTCACTGTGTTGCTTAGTGCCTCACTTTTGCTGAGACTGGCTTTCAACTTGGGATCCTCCTTTCTCAGCCTCCCGTGCTGCTTGGATCATGGGCATGTGCCTACTGTGCCAGGCTTACCTTTTTATTTCTTAATTTTTATTTTGAAACAGGGGCTTGCTAAGTTCCTGAGGCTGGTCTTGAACTTCTATGTCTGGCAACCAGATCATCTTTATTGTGAGGGGATCTGCAGTGCACTACAGGATGTTTAGCATCATCTGTGGTCTCACCACTGGATGTCAGTAGCATCTCCTATTTGTGACAAAATCCGTAATTTCTCTCCACTCAGCATTGTCTAGTATAACTATGCAATGATGTGACTACTGGGCACTTGAAAGATGGCTAGTGTGACTAAGTAACCATATTTTAAATTTTATTTGATTTTAACTAATGTGTTTAAATTTAGGTAGGCATATGTATATGTGGCTAGTGTGGCTACCATTTTGGACACTGTAGTCTAAATACAGCTCTGTGGCTTTTCTAGAAATCACTTCTTTTTCATTTAGAGCCCCTTTTGCTTTATACCCAGAATCCTCAGAGAGAATGAGGTGAAAGGTTAGCTAGCTGATATGTAACAGATAGTTTTGTCCAATACAGGCTTTCTTTCTTTCTTTTTTTTTTTTTTAAATATTTATTTATTTTTTAGTTGTAGGAAGACACAATACATTTATTCTTTTTATTTTTATTTGGTGCTAAGGATCAAACCCAGTGCCTCATGCATGTTAGGTGAGCGATCTACTTCTATGAGTCACAATCCCAGTCTAATACAGGCTTTCTTGGCAGGGTGGTAGGACCATCAAAGGTGTACCAGCTCTAACTGTGCAATCGTCAAGCCAGTTGACTCACCTGGAGTAATGTATGACCTGCATGCTTCTGATACAAAGCATCTGCCCTGTCCAAGGAAGTAATATGCACAGGAAGGAAGTTGGAAGCCACAACTGTAAACCAAGCGGACTGATTTCCCTTAAGAAAGGAGGAGAGAAATTATTTTACCCAATGAAAAACTTGATTACAAGGTATAGTAAAAAAGGAGAAAACTCTTCATAAGAATGGGTAATAATAGCAGCTGTAATCAAATTATATAAATATCAAAAAAAAAAGGGAGCACAATATGGAAGGAGTGCATTTTACAATTCATGTAAATCATAAGACTAGGACTTTTGCAGACTTGTTGATACTATTGAAGTTAGGTATAAAATATTAAAAATCTATGGGCCTTAATGAAATATACAAGGGTTCTAGATGTGTAAGACTAAAATTTCCAACAAAGAATGATAAAACACAAAACCCAAGGAATGTACTATAACAATGTACTTGTAAGTTGCATGTTGGTGGACATATCTATGTTTTGTTTTCCTTTCTTCTTTTCACTTCGGCAAAATGAAGAATGATTCTACAGATGCTCTAAAATCCCCAAAATGGTATTATACAGATGAATACCAAGCAAAAAGAACATATAAAAAAAGATAATATCTGGGATATAAAGAAGTGCTGAATTACTTCAATGCATACTAGCTCTGGATCAAGAGGTCTAATCTTATGATTTCCTTGTGAAACAAGAGCACAGGAAAGGGATAGTATTTCATCTTTTTTTTTTCTTTTTTGGTATTGGGGATTGAATGCAGGGGCACTTGACCACTGAGCCACATCCCCAGCCCTATTTTATATTTTTATTAGAGAGAGGGTCTCAGTGAGTTGCTTAGTACCTCACTTTTGCTGAGGCTGGCTTCGAACTAGTGATCTTCCTGCCTCAGCCTCCCAAGCTGCTGGGATTACAGGCGTGCACCACAGCTCCTGGCTCAGTATCTGGTCTTAAATGCTAAGTTTTATAGAGCATTCAATATCCCTTTGATGATAAGGTTTTTAAGACCCAGTATTCCTTTTTTTTTTCCCCCTTTCTCCCAAGCTTTTATGGAAATTTCCAAACATATAAAATCATGACTTAGTTATATAAACATTTTGACAGCCTTATTCATAATGTTAATGCTTCTTTAAAGTACATCCTAATACCTAGTAGTTTTTAATGGTACAGATTTTTCTTACCTGCAGGAAATCTATGCGGCCTATAGCACCCAAAAATAGAACCATTCCTGGTTTAAGCACAAAAGTTCTTGGAATAATGGAATGTGTTGGTAGAACAATGTTTACTTCTTTTTCTGTTAGAAGATTTAAAATCTGTGAAGCAAATGGCAAGTTTAATAGAGAATTACTTTTACTGAAAATATGGTATTTTGAGATTCATTTATAAAAAGTGATGAGAAAATACTAGACTTCAAAATAAACCAAATTATGTCAGTTAGTCACATATAAATTCTGTCTAAATTAATCTCAATTTACTGGTGGTTATACTCATTTCAAAACTGAGTCTTGGGCAGTGGCAAAATAACTTCATAGGTATATGATATTTTTCTATGTCATCACTATGCTACAATGTTAAAATTGGTATGAACTTGAAAATGTTTCGGGATCAATACCATGGGAGAAAACATATGCTCAGGTCTTCTGGAGAACAGTAGTTTCCAGCTTAAATTAATAGACTGCAACCTCATGTCCTAGTGGTTAAACATGTATGCATCAGAGGTCAAGAGTTTGAAGAACTTTCTAAATTCTGGACTTCAATATCCTCATTTCCCCTGAATATTCAGCACAAACTGAGAAAAAGTTATGATTCCTCTGGCTTATATAAGAATACAGATTTCTTTTTTTTCTTTTTTGGCAGTACTGGGTATTAAACCCAGAGACTAATGCATGCTAGGCAGTATTCTATAGCTAAGCTGCATCCCCAGATCTCTTTCTGAGACAGAGCCTCACTTAAATTGCCTGCGTTGGCCTCGAACTTTCTATCTTCCTGCCTCAACTTCCCAAGTAGTTGGGATTACAGCTTGGTGAATAAAGATTCACCAAGTCTTTAAAAATGATTTCTTAAAGACTAGAGAAAATAGAAGAGGAAAAATAGGAAGTATAAGATTCTGATAAAATTTAAGAGGTAAAAATCAGATTAAAAGAGAAAAGAGGGCTGGGGGTATAGGCAAGTGAAAGAATACCTGCCTACTTAACACATGAGGCCCTGGGTTCAATCCTTAGCACAGGAAGAAAAAAAGGGCATAAATGGCAAATAATCTTGTTAATTCAGCTGGGTATAGTGATTCATGCAGTTTAGGAGGCTGAGTCAGGAGGATCACAAGTTCAAAGCCAGCCTCAGCAACTTAGCAAGGCTCTAAGCAACTTAATGAGACCCCATCTCAAAATAAATAATAAAAAAGGGCTAGAGATGTTGCTCAGTGGATAAGTGCCCCTGGGTTCAATCCCCCCCGCCCCGCCCCATCCCACCCCAAACAAAACAAAATCTTGTGAATTTGGTTCTTAGCAACTTAGTGACACCCTGTCTCAAGAAATAAAAAGGTCTGGGTTGGGGATGTGGCTCAAGTGGTAACAGGCTCGCCTGGCATGCGTGAGGCACTGGGTTCGATCCTCAGCACCACATACAAATAAAATAAAGATGTTGTGTCCACAGAAAACTAAAAAATAAATATTAAAAAAATTCTCTCTCTCTTAAAAAAAAAAAAAAAAGGAAATAAAAAGGTCTGGGGATATTGCTTAGTGGTAGAGTGCTTCCTAGCATGTGAGTCTCTAGCTTCAATATCCAGTGCCCAGGAAATAAAAAAACATCCCAGTCCTTTTTTATTTTTTAATTTGAGACAGGGTCTGAGTTGCTGAGGTTGGTCTTGAACTTGTGACCCTCTTATCTCTCAGCCTCTTAAGCTTCTGGGATTATAGGTTTGTACCACTGCATCTGGCTATCTGACAGATTTTTATATTAAAAAAACCCGAGGGACTTAATTCTGCTAGCTAGAATATTTTGCAAATCCTTGACTTTCTGACTCAACTGTTTCACATGAGGGTACATGACTAAAGTAATGATTATCTTGACCTAAATGAGTGTGAAAGGAAATAATTAGTTGGTGAAGTTACAGTAATAGAACATCATTGGAAAGCAGTCCAGTTACTCAGAAAAGACTGAGCATGAGTGATTACTCTAGGAGAGCAATAAATGTTAAACTGATGTTTATGATGTGGTACACCAAAGAGTATATGATTCTGAGAATGAAATAGTAACTGAACCTGATAAGGTAAAGGAAAGTACCTAAGAAACCGGTATTGTTTCACAGGGAGGTATGAGATAATTAGGATAATTAAAAACTGGCAGTAGCCAGACTCAAAGGAAGAGATTAATACAACTGTTGTGAGGCTGTATCCCAGATGCCCACTTGAGCCAATGACTTGGATAAAGATCAAAACTGCAAATAATAAAAAGTTGTGAGATTCAATAGGTCTGTTACAGAACAAAATAATTAAGACAAAATCAAAGAATTTAATTAAGACAAAATGGAAGTTACCCATAAGATGCTGCATTTGGATTAAAAAGAGGCCTAGGGGCTGGGGTTGTAGCTCAGTGGTACAGTGCTCGCCTGGCACGTGCGAGGCACTGGATTGTCAGCACCACATTAAAATAAAGATATTGTGGGCTGGGGATGTGGCTCAAGCGGTAGCGTGCTTGCCTGGCATGCGTGTGGCCTGGGTTCGATCCTCAGCACCACATACAAACAAAGATGTTGTGTCCGCCGAAAACTGAAATATTAAAAAAAAAATTCTCTCTCTCTCTTTAAATAAAGGGCCAATTGCACTTAAAAAAAAAAAAAAGATATTGTGTCCACTTACAACTAAAAAATAAATATTAAAAAAAAGAGGCCTAAAGGCAAGACAGGTTCACTTAATTCTATTCTAAATTATGCTCATCTAATAAAAACAAAAAAAGTGGAAAAAAATTAAACTATGTTCATTTGACAGGACTTACAATTTAACATATTTCAAGGGAAATAAGTATTATGTTGATTCCATACAGTTTTGAGGAACAATGAGTACAAGTTATAGGGAAACTGTTGAGTACAATACAAACATTGGGTCCAAGACCAAATGGGTTACTGCTTCACCTAATAGTGAATCACTCCCTACTTTAGTTCAAGTTGGATATCCTTGTGATGGATATGTTATATAGGGAATTCAAATATGGAATAGGGAGCTGGACTGCAGTGGTATTTATGATTTCTTCCAACCTCAAAATCTAGGATCCTGTAAACATCTAATTAAGCTAACAACTACCATCATAAATATAATCAAGTAGATTGTCTTCAGTGAAGTCTACCAAAAAAGTAGAGATTTGATGACATATAGATTTGCCTCCTAACTGCTTTATGAATGAATCAGAACTAAATCTAAAGTGGAAGTATAGCACCTTTCTTGCTTTCTACCAATTAAGACAGTACTTCTGCAATTGAAAGTAAATGTTTCTAAAAGAAACCAAAAACGTACGCAATTTTCTTTTGTAATTCCAGGGGTGTCATAAAACCAGTGGGCATCTTTCACATCTTGAGGAGTCAATTCTATCCGTTTGGTGGATTTCTCCACAACCATGACAGGTTCATTTCCCATGTCAAAGGCAAGTGAATCAACATCAAACTCAAAAGTATCTTCTTTCTTTTGTTCTTTTGAATATAAGAATGTTCTTCCAACTCTTCCTAAAATGAATGATATTGAGGTTATCAGTTGCTCCTTTAATGCTTTTGATTTCCAGACAATTTTTATGTTTTTCTCAAACAAGTCACTCAGACTAACTATAGGGTATGGAAGTAAGACTGCAACAATACCTGTGTGGAACTCCCCACAAAGGTAATGAGAGTCAGACTTTTAAAATGATAAAAGTGCGAGGCTAGCTGTGCACACTCAGGCAGATGGCATTGGAATTCAGTTTTTACTAAAGCCAGGCTGAAAAAGTTACCAAGGAGAAAAGGATAACCTAATGTAAAGCTGCTGCACAGAATCAATGAGCATTACCACTTGTACTGGTGTGGGTTTCCAAATAGCAAAGCCCTTGCCTCTAAAGGGTCTGTTCCAGAAGAAGGAAGTAAGTCTCTACCCACAGAAACTGGCTAGCTTAAGACAGCTGTATTGTAGGTCTCAACAAAGAATTTTAACAGAGAATCAACAAGGGTTTTCCCAAATAGGGCACTTACCAACTACATAACCATGCGTTTTAAAGCGATTAAGTTGATTTTGTTCTTGTTCACTAAGATCTTCTTCAGCTTTATTTGCATCACTTTTAAGTCTTTTTTGTCTTTCAAACAGTCTATAAGGAGTTGGGTTGCAAATAGGAAACTTCAGAAGGTTTAATGTGGTACCTGAAATACCAAAGAATAGTGTTTTCAGAAAAGGGATCAAGGGGAGGAAAATGAACATTTCTTAGGATCTACATTATGTTGGCTGTGATTCATCTCCCTCAACCTCCATGACAATCCTCTATAAGATTATTGTCACTTTAAATGAGGAAATCGTCTTAAAGATGGGCTCAAAGGCTAACCCAGATTTGAATCCAAAATCTGGAACCTGATTATTCCCATTTCCATACGGCTATCCAGTACAAAAACAATTCTGAGTATAAGTCAGATGAGATTTGGTACATTCAAAATGATATGGCTGTAGAGAGTTCTGAGTATATTTCAACTGAAAGTGCAAGATAGAGAACAGTGGGCCAGGAAAGGCATGGTGGCACATGCTTGTAATCACAACCCTCTGGAAGGCCAAGGCAGAAGGAAATTTCCTTCTTCTGGAAAAGAGACCCTTTAGAGACAAGGACTCTACTACTTGCTAAAGCCAGCCTTAGCAACTTAGTGAGACCCAGTTTCAAAATAAAAAATAAAGGGACGTGGTTCAGTGGTAAAGCACCCTTGGGTTCAATCTCTGGTATCAAAACAAAAAAGCAAAAAACAAAAACAAAAAACCAAACCAAAACAAAAAGCTCTAACCAAATGCAGTTAAACCCTGGTTTCAAGGGAACAAATGGGGAAGTTAGTTTTGTGAACTTAAATAATGAAGAGGGTCATAGAAGAAATCAGTTTCCCATCACAGAAGTTTCTTAAAGTCACAAAACAAAGCCAAACACCATATTGCATTAACGAATTATTCAGATGTTATGTATGTATTGTATAATGGTGTCAAGAATAAATTCAGGATGTGAACAGTAACACTGAGGGGTGGAGAGTGGTTCACAGAGTTAAAAAAAAAAAAAAAAGAAGCACAATTTTCAAGAAAAACATACAAAGAAAATAAACTGGAAGGGAAATCTCCAAGACAGTGGGAACTTTGCTTTGTTTGTTCCCCGGTGTGTTTTCTGTTTTAAAACAACATATACTTAATTTCGACGCAGTAAGGTGATACAGAAGAGGGGTGTAACAAAGTATGAGAGGATTTTTAAATGGAAGCCTCCATGCAGTCTAACTTGGTCGTTAAGCAAAGAAACAGTAGGTGCCTGTGCCACGACCAGAAGTCCAATTTCTCAGCATGCGAGCCTCCTAAGCCTCACCTGGCCAAGGGGAGATGGTGGCCCTGTCGATGGCCTCGGTGCCCTTTGCGGTGCAGTAATCAGACTCCAGGAGTGTGTTAAAAAGAGTGGACTTGCCAGAGTTGGTGGCGCCCACCAGGTAGACATCGCCACGGTAACGCCAGGAGCGCTGAAGTGCGGAGATCAATTCTTCAATTCCATAGCCAGTCTTGGCACTGATCAGCCTTACGTCCCTGACCACCGTGCGCGACCAGGCCGACGGATTCGAATTCTCCGCGTCCCCTGGCTTGTCCTCGCTGGACTGCTGTGGTCCTCGGTGGCCAGGGGCCGGCAGGAGTCCGGCACGGATGCAGTCGTCCCACAGCCTGTTTCGGAGTCGCTGCCGGTAGCCGGGAGAATCCTGAGGGAGCAGGTCCACTTTGTTCCCCAGCACGATGAGCTGCTTGGCACCCACCAGCTTGGGCAAGTCGGACAGCAGGGCGTCGGGCAAGTCGAGCAGGTCTACCATGTACAACACCAGGGCTGGCCCAGGCCGCCGCAGCGCGGCGCTCACCAGTTCCAAGTACTGTTCGCGGCTCACCTGCACGCGCAGGGCGCGCCGGTGGTGCACCAGCAGCCAGCAGCGCTGGCACACGAGCCGCACAGGTCCGCTGTCCGCCTGGGCCGCGCTGGAGAACTTCTCGCTGGGGAGGTAGCCGGGCATGCCGGGGTCCTGGCAGTGCAGCTCTGCCCCGCAGCCCGTGCAGTTCAGGCCGCTAGGAGGCACCGTCGGATCCGGGAGTTCTACGATCGGGCGCGGGCGGCGGCCGGCCCGTACCTTCTGCTGGAGTCGTTCCTCCTTCCGCTGATCCTGTTGTCGTTCTTTCTCCTGCTGCAGCTGCAGCAGCTTACGCAACTGCTCCTCGGGACTCGGTGCCCCCGGGGGCTTCGGGACATATTCCGGGAACACAAAATGCTCCTCCGTGTCAGTGGTTTTTTCGTAGTTCCCAGTGGCCGAGGGGCCACGAGGAAGCCCACGTCCCAGGAGGGATGGGTACTGGAAGAAGGCAGCTGCGCATCTCCTCTCCAGGATCGGATCCCGGAGGCCATGGCGTGTTACGGCGGGCGACAATCCCTGCAGGAAGCGCCACAGCAGCCTACCCGCCAGGCTTATGGGCAGCATGGGGAAGGGCGCCACGAAGAGCGGGGCGGAGCCACGAGCGCAGGCGCGTCCCAGGGTTCCAGACCCGCGCGAAACCCGAGACCCAAGCCCGGGGGTACTTGGGAATTGTCCACCACGCGTAAAACCCCGTGAGTTCTCGCGATGAAACTCTGAGGCCTTAGAGCCCACTTAAAGTGGAGAAGATACCGTCAAGCACGATGTGCCACAAGTCTCCTTAATAAATCACATTTTGTCTTTAGAAGTGCAGAAAATTGGCATAGAATGCTGCGGACTCACGTCCACAACCAAAACCTTTCATTAATACACTGATTGTTTTTCGGGTGTCATTGTTTCTACAACTACAGTGAAAAACAAAACAGACCGAAAGCTTTGACCGGCAGCAACCAACTCTTGGCCTAAACAAGCTATCCTCTTAACACAATTTGCACGCCAGCAACTCTCCCCGGGTAAACTTTACCCTATTGTCCGCGCAGGCGCAAATCTCACGTTGGCGTTTGCGGGCGGCCTTTGCTGCGGCACGCAGAGCATTCTGGGAATTCCGGAGACGGAAATTACTTCGCTTCTCGCTGCGGGTACTGGTGGCTGTCCTGCGCCTATCTTTGATTTCTCGGGTTAGGAGCTCCAAAGCCTTCTGCCAATATGTATGACGCAGACGAGGGTAGGTGAACACTCAAAACACATTTCGCGGCGACTCATTTAAAAAGGGAAGCGGGGGGTACTGGGTGGAGGGAGTTTTGAGGCTCTCTCCCTCGTCCGTCGCAGGCAGCCCCTTGTCGTGTTCCCCACACACCTCAGGCCCGGAACCAAGCTGGGCTTGCGGGAGGCGCAGGGTCAGGGAACGTGTGTTCATGTTTCCAGTCGTGTTCGTTCTGGTTCTCTCCACCGTCTCCTTCTGTCCAATCTGATATCACCTTTCATATTTGAACTTGAAGGAGCTCCCCTCCGCCTTTCAGTTTAAGGTCGCAGTCGATTTATTGAATAGCTGGATTTTTGAGTACCAGTCTTATGCCTCACATTGTATTAGGCTCTGGAAATACAGCGGGGACAAAGGATTTTGGAGGGGGAGGGTTGGTCTAGTTTGGCTTTCCTTCTTATCTATTAGTCTTTAAGTAAATTGCTTTAAAAGATGGCCTTTAAATCTCCCACAGGATAACATAGTTCTCAGGTTATATGTATTCCGCTGAACAGGGCCAGTTTATCTTTTTACTTTTCACATATGTTATTCTTAGTCATGCCTAATGTATTTTTTTTTCTTCCTTTTGGTACCTGGGATGGTGTCCATGGTTTAGTCATTGAGCCAAGTCCCCAGCCGTTTTTTATTTTGAGGCAGGGTCTCATAAAGTTGTCTGGGGCCTCACTAACTTGCTGAGGCTGGCTTTGAACTTGAGATCTTCCTGCCTCAGCCTCTTGTGTCACTGGGCTTAGTGGAGTGCACCACCACACCTGTCTTTGAATGTATTTTTAAAGTTCCCTCTCCCTTCTCCACTTCTATTATTTCAGATTTTTTTTTCTCTTTTAAGCTCCCAATTCTCTGTCCGCCTCTCACATTTCTCATTCTCTTAGCCACCTCATAAAGAAAATAGAAGCAAAAACTTAAACTTTTGAAGTTGCTGAAACATCTCAGTCTCATTTATAGCTTTTGTCCAGAAATCTTATATTCTCTACTTTTTAACTACTATCTCAGTGGAAGAAAAATTCAAGAGAAGTTTTTTTATAGCTTACTTTTTTGAGTGGGTAATATATTCTCATCACTCACAAGCTGGAAAATAAGAGTGTTGAAAAGTATCAGGTCTCATTTTTGTTTTCCAACTGCCCAGTTTGAACCCTCTCCACAGGTGATACTGTTTTTAGATTTTTTTTTTTGGTACCAGGGATTGAACCCAGGGGCACTTAACTACTGAGCTACATCCCCAGCCCTTTTTTCATATTAGAGACAGCGTCTCACTGAGTTGCTTAGGGCCTTGCTAAGTTGCAAGGCTGAGGCTGGGTTTGAACTCTCAATCCTCCTTATCTCAGCCTTGCTAGTGGCTGGGATTATAGGTGAATAGAATAGAATAGAATAATTATATGCTTGGCTTGTTCTATTCTCAGATTCTTGACATTTATTTTATGGCTTAGGGATGTAGCTCAGTGGTAGAGCACTTACTTAGTGTGGATGAGGCCTTGGGTTCAATCCCAGTGCCATAAAAAAAAAAAAAAAAACAATTTAACTTCTTTGTTTTTTTATGCATATTTAAGCAAATATAAATTGGGTTCTATTTTTCCCCTTTTTACAAACAAAAAAGTAACAGGCACACTTTTCAGCACTTTGGTTTTTGTAATATGAGTAGGGGTTTTCCTATTACTACATAGAGTATTCTCATCACCCCAAAGCTATTGAGTGTGTATGGATGTACCATAACTTAAGTAGTCTCTTATTGAAGGATATTAATAATCAGTACTGTAGTGAATTATCTTGTACATAATCATTTTGCTCAAATGTTTGTAGGATAGATTCCTAGATAATAGAATTGTCAGGTTGAATGATATGTGTGTTAAAAACATTTTTAGATGGTGCCATGTGACCATTATAGTACTAATTTACATTGTACTAATTTACATTCTCAGCAGTGTTTAGTAATCCTGTGGAAAGTAAGTTTATCAAAGCTACTACAGCAGTGAGTCTACCTTTGATTTGTGCAGACCTTCCTCCAAAATCTTTATTAGGTATATCCTTATCAGTTTTCACCTGCTTCTTTTCAACCTGGCTTCTTTCTATGTGAAAATGTCAAATCTCACTTGTTTGTAGGAAAACAAGTTAAACTCTTTTTGTTGTTTGCTTTTTCTTCCAATATTTTGTTTTTCTCATCGCAGCCAAGCTTTGCCTTATTTCCAATTTCCATCTTTCAGGGTCTCCTTAACCCATGCTAGTCTGATTCTTCTGGTGCTGCTACCTTTAAACAACTCTTACTAGATTACTTATGACTTCTTAGTTGATAAATCAGATGGGCATTTAAAGTGTCATTTAAAAAGTCTTATCTATAACTATGTGGTATCCAACATTGTTGACAGACTTCCTCCTGGAAATTCATTCATCTCTTCTTCTACATCACTTTCACTTGATTCTTCTTACCTGTTTGACTTTCCTTCTCATTCTCTTTTATTATTCACATTCTTCCTGGGTGATCTTATCCATTCTTTTATGACTTCAGTTACTGCCTGTATGTGTGTGTCTTTTGGATATGTATTCCCAATTCAGATATTCTGCATACTAACTACTATTAGACATCTGGGATGTCACCCAGGCTCTTTAAACTCATCACTGCCTAAACTGAGTTCACTGTGTTCTTTTATCCAGTCTCCTTCCAAAGCCTTTGCCTTCTGTGTCCTCCATTTCGGTGAATGGTACTACCCTCTTATTTCTGGTTGTGGAAGCCAGAAGCCTTGGCATTGTATTTTAGTTTTTAGAGAATCTGGCCCCAAATTCCTGTCCTTAAGTGATCCTCCTGACTTAGCCTCCTGAATCACTGGGATTAGAGGCACACATAACTGCTCTCAACTCCTTGGGAATCAGTTTTAATTCCTGTTTGTTGCTCTTGTATCTAATTAACCATCAGGTTTTGATGATCAGAGTCTTCTAAATATGTCATATCTGAGTCACTTCTCTTTGTCCCCATTGCCACATTCTTGTTCATGCTACCACCAGCTCTTGGCAAGAACACTCCTGATTTGTGTTCTTCTGGTCTTCTCCAAGCTACTCTGCACACTGGGCATAGTGATCTTTCAGAAGTGACATCTGATCTAGCCATACCCCTATTCAAATCTTAGAGTGGTCTCTCAAACCTCTGTTGGTGTAAACCAAATTTGTCTCACTCCCCTTCTAACTTCACTCTCCTGCTTCAGTGGCCTTCTTTCCATGAATATGCCATACGTCTTTCATTATGGAGTCTTTTGCACAAGCTTTTTTTACCGCTTGAAATACTTCTTTCTTTACTCCTTACCTTCACAATCTCATTTTTGCCTAATTTACTGTTCTATTCATGACATGAGGTCTGTGTTTAGCTCAGCTTTTTTTTTTTCCCCCCTTCATACATTGGTGGTGATGGGGATTGAACCCAGAATTGCTTTACCACAGAGCCATCTCTTTTGTTTTTCTTTTCTTTTTTTGGTACCAGAGATTGAACCCAGGGTTGCTTAACCAGTGAGCCACATCCCCACCCCTTTTTTATATATATTTTTTTAGAGACAGGGCTTTACTAAGTTGCTGAGGCTACCTTCGAACCTGTGATCCTCCTGCTTCAGCTTCCTGAGCTGCTGGAATTACAGGCATGTGTCCCTGTGCCTGGCCCCTTTTCATTTTTTGAGACAGGGTCTCATTAATTTGCTTAGGATATCACTAAGTTGCTTAGGCAGGCCTTGAATTTGTGGTCCTCCTGCCTCTGCCTCCGAGTGGCTAGCTTACAGGCAAGGGCTGCTACCACACCCAGCTAGCTCAGCTTTTGAGATGTCTTCCCTGACTTCTTCAGACCTGGTTAGAAATGTCCACATCATTTGGGCTTTATTGATTTCACTTTGTCTGTATTTCCCCAATAAGTCATAATCTCCCCAAGGATACAGCTATATTTATCTTGTTGAGGGTGGTGTCTCTAATGCTTGGGCCATAGTAGATGCTCATGCTCAAATATTTGATGATTAATTTAATAGATAAATTAATACATGAATCTCCCTCATGGGTTCATTTTCCTTCACATGACTATTAAACAGAGGTATTCCCTAATATCTTGTCTTCAGTCTTTTCCTTATGAAAATTCCCCTTATTTTCTCAACCATTTGTTCAAGATTTCGACTTTGTTTATGACATGAAACTTTTATTTGAGCTTCATATTTGTATCTAGTTACCTATGGAAAATATTTAAAGGGCTATATGATCTCAGATATATCTAAAACCTTCCTCTTCATTTCCTCTTTATTCTGTCTTTGAATATACTTCTATATGGCAGTGATATTAACCTTTAATCTCTTA